GGCGCCTCTTCCCGCGCCCGCTGAGGGGGCGACGGCCCTCCGCGGGGGGAAGGAGAGGGAAGGAGGCGACCAGGCCGGGCGAGCGGTGCCAAGCCGCCGCAGCGTGCTTGTGCTTTTTGGGCTTTCCGGGGTTGCGGCGGCGGGGCATTAAAATGTCGAGTCGCTTATGTTATTGTCAGAGTTCGCTGGTTTGGACCTGACGGCGGGAGCGGGTCCCCGCTGTGTAAAGCATCGCCTGTGCCGGGCAGCTGAGCTGGAGCACCTCCGAGCGGCTGTGAAATCCAGGGCGGCATGGGAAAATACTTCTTTTTGAGAGGAATACTTACTTTTTGAGGCTTTTGATCTTTACCCGTATGGTCTCTGATGTGCTAGCCAGCGATTAGACAATTTAAAAATTCTAACAGCACTTCCCTGGCCACTTAATCATGGAGCGTTCACTCTTTTTGTTACGCAAATACTGAATTCGTTTGGCAGAACCTGGCACTAAAACAAAGATTCTTCCTCCGTAATGCATGTGCTGTATTTTTTGTACAATTTTTCCCACTTTTCCTGCAGTCACCAGCGTGTTGTGAGGTATAACTTGTTTGCTTAGCTTTAAATATCAAAAATATCATGCATATGTTACTAATCTTCTATCGTAAAAGCAGCTGCCATAATAAACTCCTATTTAGCCTTGTGCTGCACTGGTATTTATTCGTTTGTTGTGTTAGTACCACGCTCTGAGCAGCTGAAAGAACAAACGGGTTTTTTTTTAATTGGGAATAATGTGAGGCAGGTGAAGGGGAGGAAGGAGTGTGGTGTAACTTGATATGAAAATGAGCAAACTCTCTTCTGTTTACTTGTAAGGCAGGGTTTGGAGAAGGAGAGCTTTGGTAGGCTGGGTACATTTGCCAATGGAGGCTCCTGGAACTGTAGGGACCTTTTCTGAAGAATCAGTACTTTGATCACATGCTTTTTCCCCCCTTTCTTGTCTGTGGCCTAGTGCAGTTCACTTTCTTACATGAGAACGTGCTGTGTGCCCCTGAGGCTATTTGGTGGTGATATTCTTGACTCGCATAGAATAACAGCACATAAAGAATTCAGTTTAAGAGCTGTGAATAGGTTAAGTATTTTTTATAAGCCAGGAAATCAGTGTAGTGTAGGAGTGACACAAAAGTCAATTTATACTTAGAAACATATGGAAAAAGCAAAGTTAAAACTGATTTCATTTAGCCATGTCTTTCATTTGCCCATTAAATAGGTATCTGCGAAGTTGGGTTTTTCTCCCTTTGGTCGGATAGATGAAAACATTGTCATTGTGGTGGTTTGGGGTTGTTTAGAAAAGGTCCTTGTGATTTTTGGATATTGTGTGAAAAAATTCCGTCATGCTGAAGGCAACAGCGAAGAGGTATCATGAAAGCGGGTGAGGTTTTGATTAGTAAATCAAAAATCAAAAACATAAATGCCAGGCTGGCATGTGGTTGACCAGAAAGGTCACTCTCCATCCTTAGACATGCTGAAAACTCAACCGGAGAGGTCACTGAGCAACCCAAGCTAACTTGCAGTACATCCCTGCAAAATTACTTCTTACCCTAAATTGTTTGGTGTTGATCCTCAGGGATTAGAGTTGAGAAAGCTACTGTTGAGGTACAGTGCAGTCTGTAGGAACCTTCGTAGGCACCCACTATTGGCAATGTGTTCAGTGGGGCTCTTGGGCCAGAGACCCTCATGTTCTGAGGATCTGCTGGAGCTTCCAGGGCTTCCTCCAAATTAGAGAGGAAGAAAGTCATTTGTGCCAAAAACAACAGTTGCAACACCAAAGTAAGAAGGTATATGAGTCTCCAAGGTATCTGTGGGTATGCTAGCACTTCATGAAGTCCTTGACTAATGTTAATTTTTCAAATAAGCAGCTGCAGCAGTTCACATGGGTTTATTTAAACACAGTTGGCTTAAACTGACCATGAATATAGCTAGGGTAGAGAAATTAAATGAAAGGTTCTGGCTATCAAAACACATGCTGGAAGATTATGCGACATGGCTGCTTGTACAAGTAGGGACTGAATGGTTCTGTGCTCTAGTGTTACTTTATCACAAATTAGAGGAGAGATGGCCCATAAGAAACTCAGTACTAGCATGTACTAGTGATTTTCAGGCTTTTTTCCTGACATTACTGTCCTTCCTCCTGTTCTCTCCTTACATCCAAATATAGTCTTCAGTGTTATTTTCATTGCCATCTGAGGTACATGCTATATAGTATAAAGAATATTTTGCATCAAGATTTAAGGAAGATGGTGACATGTCAGAAGTGATCTCGAACTGCAAATCCCTGAACAGAAGTGATTTCTATGTTACTAAAACCAGTATCTGTTAATGCATAGTTGATGCATTAGGGAAGCTTTTAGGGATGATGCCACTTTGTCAAACCCTGGCAGGATGAGGACGACACACTCCACATCAGTGAAGAAATTCCTGACTTACTGAGGTTGCCAGCTCTGTTATGTCCTTTAAGGAATGCTGTTTCCTAGAGCTTCTAGGGCAGAGCGTTTAAAGATGTTGCTAATGCTTCAGCATTTTAACTTCAGCATAGGAGTACTACATGGTTCAAACAGCATAATTTACATTCAAACATTAATGCTTCAGAAGGCTAGAGGTAATTCTGTTGTTTTGGTTCTTCAAATACCTAAAAAGAAAATTACAATTCATCTGCTTCCATTGTGTGTAAGTGCTTTTAGGAGGATGTTTTCTTCCTGAGACAGAGCTACAGTACCTTACTGGGACTGAGTTCAGCTAAACCAGCTGATTGCTTGTAAAGAAAGAAACCTGCTGGTAGTCTCTGAAGTTTGCCCTAGAACAGGAGAAGATACTGTTTGGGGGCTGCGCTTCAGTCCTGTTGGAAGAAAGGTAACTGCGCAGTCTCGTCCTTGTGTGTCCATCTGTACCTATGCCAAAAAGCTCTTAAGTTCAGCATACTATATTTGAGTTCAGGGAATTGATTGTCTAAATTCTGCTAAGTGAGATGCTTTCTCTGGTACTTCCTCATTTGGAACCTCCTTCTCTGCCACAAGTGTATTTTACTCTTCTTGTTCAGTGTCGGAGGGTTTGAAGAGCCTGGCGACAGTCTGGCCCTTGTTCACCTTCCTGCACTCTGTTGTTCTGCAGACTTTACACTAAACAGTAGAACAAGCATATCTGACATTAATGAGTCTGCTCTTTTTTTTTTTTCTTTCATGAAGAATAAACCACAAAAATATAGCCTGCTGAAAGGGTCAGAGCTAATAATAATCCCAAAAAATTCTGGCATCCAGTTCAGCTTTGAGGTTGCACCTGTTGTTTGAAAACTATTTTTTTTTATGCTAGTCTGGTACTACGATAGTAGCTAAGCTGACTATTATCTTGTTTTTCTGTTGTAGTACAATCGGGTTTGGATCCCTGATAATGAAGAAGTTTGGCAGTCTGCAGAAATCACAAAAAACTACAAAGCTGGAGACCGTTTTCTCCATGTGCAATTAGAAGATGGAACTGTAAGGAGAAAAGCCTTAATTATTGTGGGGTTTGCTGAGATATGTTTCTGTAGAACCATAGGGCTCATCATTAAGGGATCTAAATGACTTGCCTTTTGTGCTAACTGTGCAATGACCAGAATTTTATCATATTGAAATTTGTACATTAAACAGCTGTTACCTAAAAATATGAGTGCAATTCTGCTATCTGTTATCACAAGAGTATAGAACACAAACCTCAAAGAAGAAAGATTGCTTCACTTCTGAAACAAGCACTGAAACTCATCTTAAATTGAAGTAAATTGGAAGTGCAAGGCAGGCATAGTTATATCACATAGCTAGCTGTGCTTTTTTTTTTCCTAAAGTTGTTGCTTTATGTAAGATTTGTTGATTTTAGTATCTGAGTTCTTTACAGGTTTAATGTTTTGAAAACAGTATTTCTGCATTCCTGTTCTGTAAAGGCAAGTATTAAGTTATGATTAAATGGGTTTGTTGAAAGAAACAGAAGTGAATTTTAAACTTCGTGTAAAGAAAACTGAACAGTTGCAAGTAGGGATAGTTTTAGAGCTGACTGAAGTTCTGAATAGGTGTTTCCTTTCATTCAGTGGCAGCTGGTCTGCCGTTTTCATCTGTACTTGAAATATCCATGTGCTTAGAGTGCAAAACACATTTCCCATTTTTAAAAATTTCAATACAAAATACTGTAAATAAAGGTAATGTAGCTTTCCTTCTAATAAACAACAAAGAGCTCCATCTTCCTTTCATGATCTCCAGGTCCCCTAAGTTCTGTGGGATCTATGGAATTGATGAAACGCATGAACAGGGCTCCATCAACCGTGTAACTTCATGTAAAGGTAGAAGATCAATTTGTGTTTGTGCAAACATAATGCATTATATGATATTTCAAGTCATTTTTGTTGACAGGAACTGAATTACCCTGTTGATCCAACTGCTTTGCCACCACTACGAAATCCTGACATACTTGTTGGTGAAAATGATCTTACTGCACTTAGTTATCTCCATGAACCAGCTGTTCTACACAATCTTAAAGTTCGTTTTGTGGAGTCTAAGCTTATCTACACCTATAGTGGTAAGCCAATTAAAATGCAGTGTTTAAAAAAAAAAAATCTTAATTAAAAAAAATCTTGGGTTAGTTTGCAAGATGATGTGAGTAATGTTTTCCTCAAGTGTATTTTAACTCATTTTTGTATGAGTGTAGACTTTTTTGTTGTTCAGGAACTCCTGCTGCAATTTTGTCTCAGTTTAAGTGTTGTTTCTGAAAACTGGCATTTCATTGAACTAACCTGTCTTTTATTTTTGTTTTGTACACTTCGTTGTAGGAATAATTTTGGTTGCAATAAACCCCTATAAACAGTTGCCGATATATGGAGATGCTATTATCCATGCATACAGTGGACAAAACATGGGGGACATGGATCCACATATATTTGCTGTGGCAGAAGAAGCATACAAGCAAATGGCAAGGTTCAGTATGTTGCTTAATGTCCATAAGTAACACTTGAGGTCTAGTGGCGATCAGTGTTAATTGTAATTTAATTTAACTGTGTATGTGCCATTGGCTATTAAGAATACCTTTGAATGGTTAACTTAACTAGAGGAGGATTAATTCCTTAACCAGCTGAGGAATTTCTAAAACTCATAACTATTTTCATTCTTGTGGCTGAACACTGTCTTAACTGAGTGAATAGCAATGACATCAGCCTGGAGATTACCACCAAAATGGAGTAACAGACAAACAGGTGAAAGACGGAACTGATACAAGAGTTGACCACAGCTGTGTTTTCATACGTTTGTTTTATATGTATAATTCTTATATTTATACATGCATTTTAGACATGTCTGATTTAAACTGTCTGATTATTTGGTTTTAGAAATAACAAAAATCAGTCTATTATAGTCAGTGGAGAATCAGGAGCTGGAAAGACTGTGTCTGCGAGATACACTATGAGATACTTCGCCACTGTGAGTAAGTCCAGCAGCAATGCACATGTGGAGGATAAAGTACTGGCATCCAATCCAATAACTGAGGTAGGTTTCAGAGAGTATCTGTCAAGTCTGTACTCATCAAGGAAAGAATTCTGAGAGCTGCTGAGAATCTTCGTTTGAAATCTTTAGGCATGTTTAGCTGCCTGAGTTAGATTTCTAAATTAGAAGTTTAGCCCCTGAATGTTACTGATGGAAAGAGGTAATCGGCTTCAGGAACACCCAGGTTTTGCCTAATTTACCAGTGGCCCTTTGGAGGCACTAGTTTGCGTCCAGAGTTTTATTTGACCACATGCTGTTAATTAGATGATGAAAAAACAATATTGAACATGTAAGTTGTTTGTTTGTTTTTATTAATTGGACTAGAAACTGGTTAAGGTTCCTTATGGTGGGAAAATGTACTGTCCCTAATTCTCAGTTTATGTAGTGTTACACTATTTGACTTGAGGCTTGTCTTCAAATTTGGACTTCGAAATTTAAATCTCACAGCCCAATGTTAGATTGATCCTTGAGCACCTTAGATTTTAGGAACTTGTAGTTGAGTTATGTTTTGACAAAGTTTTATTATGAAACATGCAAGTAAAACATTCTAAAAGTTGATGATTTTTGTAGGCTGTTGGCAATGCAAAAACGACACGGAACGATAATAGCAGTCGATTTGGAAAATACACTGAAATCAGTTTTGATCAGAGTTACCAAATCATTGGAGCCAACATGAGAACATACCTGCTTGAGAAATCCAGAGTTGTCTTTCAGGTAGGTAAAATAAAGTTAAAAACAGCCAATGTCAGTATAGCTACTAATGTACTATCCTTTTACTAGTTTCATATAGAAAATGTTATGTGAAGTTCTGAATCGTATGTCTAATTAGCATTTGATTTATTTTTTAATAGGAGCTAAGCTTATTTATAATAAGAAACTAATTTATTCTATGTTCCTCCTTATGTTAAGTAGAGGGTATATCTCGGGGACAATTCACTGAGATCGGTGCAAGAAGTATGACTTACAAATGGCACGTGTTACTATTGTGACTGAATCTGGAAAGGAACAGTGTATATACGGCAGAGGGAGTCTCAGTAAAAAAACTGGCTGAAAGTTTATAAGGCCACGGCTAATTGCATATGACTCATTACAGTGTCAGAGCATAATTGTGATAATCTACTAAAGAAAGCATTTGATTTTATAAAACCTTTTACAAAGTTTTCCTTTTTGATATTATTGTAACTTTTTAAGTACCATGAACAATACTTCCATATATCCGCTGCCTTGAAGGATGGTTTGGAAATAGAGAGTTTTCTGAGTTACCACGAGGCAGTGATTCAGCTGGCACTCCTACACAGTTTTTCATTACATGGTTTGTCTTATTAGTAGATGTTTGTTCAAGCTGAAGAAATTACTAGAGTAACAGCCTTGGGGGAAGAACTCAGTATATCGGTACTGGAAATAAAGTATACTTAAATTTATCACTTTCAAAGCTCTTGTTGAAGTCCAAGATGTGCCAATTTAATATTGGGCAATTTGTTTGACAGACTATGTTGCAGCAGAATTTAGCCTTTAAATATCATTATCTCTTTCCAATAGTGTTAAATATCGAATGTTCTTCTGTTTGTTGTTTTTGGGTTGTTTTTTTTTCTTTCTGTAATGGTATTCTTTGCTTTAATTTACAGTCAGAGAATGAGAGAAACTACCATATATTTTATCAGTTATGTGCATCTGCTATGCAACCTGAATTTAAGCATCTTAAATTGGGTAGGTCTCAAGAAAATAATCTACTCTTCATTTTTGCAGTGCAGTATTTTGAAGATTGGATTTTCAAACGCTAGGATGTTAAGTGCTTTATAGCATAAAGCTCACGGATTTACAATGGGACTTGCATTTTTAAGTTACTTAGCTATTAATCCTGCTTGTATTGAACTTGGTAGCAAATCCCTAGTAACTTGAATAGTGCATGGTCAAGTACCTAAATGTCTTTGAAAATCTTATTCTAATACTTTCTGTAGTGACAGGTGCCATAATGACCGTTTAGAGGCTTGATTAATTTATCTACAGAGAAGCTTTAATGACACCTGGGAGAAGCAGAGCTTAGGTATATGTTTACTCAGTCACTATTACTGGTTGTTTATTAGATCGAGTGTTAAGATTGCTAGGAATTATGAATACTAATTTGTGCCAGCTTAACTGAGTTAGGCACATGGATTTCCCTTAGAAAAAGAGGACCTCCAGCTCATTGCTGAAGAGCTGTCTTCTGACAGCATCTTTAATTTTCTGGTGGTACAAGAGTCTTTAACAAGTGGCTATCACCACTCCTGAATTTTATAGCATTACAAGTTTTGCTTCTTATTTATAGGAAGTGCAGAAGAATTTACCTACACAAGAATGGGTGGAAGCACCGTAATAGAAGGAGTTGATGACAGAGCAAATATGGTGGAGACTCAGAAGACATTTGCCTTACTGGGTAAATTCTTGGGAATACCTTTTCAATAGATTTTAAAATAGCTGGTTTTGGTTTTGGGGTTTTTGGTGGGTTTTTTTCTGAAATGGGAAAAGGCAGATTGTTTCTGAAATGTCCAAAACTTCAGTAGTAATTACCCAAATAATTTCTTTCCTAGCTTACTGTTGGTCTGTTTTAAAAGTACCAGGCAAGAGCAAGTGGCTGTTAGCAATTGGTGTTCATTGTTAATGGTCAAAATCACTAAGGGATGGAGTCTGCTTGGCCCTTAAGCCAGCATGCTGTGAGAGAAGTGGATTTGGAAGCTTCTTTGCCACTATACGGCTTATATGAAAGCCAAATCAGACTTGAACTGGCACTTGGGGAGGTACAGGAGTTTATGCCTAATCTCTCATCGAAGCAGACAGAACCAAGGCTTTGCGTAATAGTTTGCAGAGATGCTATACAATTCTTGGCTACACAATAAAGGAATTAATCCAGCATGGTGCTATTTCAATTAATTGTACTGTTTCTAAGTATTTAACATAATCAAGAATTGTTTTTTTAGGTCTGAAGGAGGATTTTCAGATGGATGTTTTTAAAATGCTGGCGGCAATCCTACACTTAGGCAATGTGGAAATAACAGCTGTTGGAGATGAAAGATCATCTATCAGCGTAAGGAAGTAGCTCATTCACATACCATCATTTTCGTTTATATTCTATGCCAAAAGTCCTTTAGCAATAGTTTTTCTCATATCTGGGGCTCAGAGCAACATTAAATCTACATATATTTATATAGCTGTAAAGGTATACTACACTTGAGAGATTGCTCCATCTTCATCTGTATAGAATTACAGCAAGTGTTTATGTGAATCCTGTTTTGTGCCCAGGTTCAGAAAGTCTGAACAAAAAGCAAAATGTGGCTAAGAGAACCCCATATCCAATTGATCCACAGCTGTTGGAAAAGCTGTTTGGGACTATCTGCTGGATGTAGGAAGCAACATTGTCAAAGCTGCTCAGAATGTGTCCCAGCAGATTACGCAAGCCTGAAAAGCAAGGACGCCTAAACATAGATTAAAGTAACTCTTTCTTTCAATGTCTTAATCCAAAGCATCTCATCCAGTCTAAGTTTTTCTCTCCTGTATCAGGAGCTCTATCCAGTATTACTTGCTTTAAGTCCTCTTGATATTTTGCCAGATGAAGAAGTAAACAGAGAGCCTTGTCTGTCTAAAAATAAAAGTCATAGTTTCATGTCAGTGGTGCCAGGATTTCACTATCTAGGCAACAGTTAAAGTATAAAATGGAATCTAATAATATTTATTTATCATCTTTAAAGCTGGAAGATAAACATCTCAATACATTCTGTGAACTTCTGGATTTAAACTGTGACAAAATGGCACAATGGTTGTGCCACCGAACAATTATCACTACCTCAGAGACTGTAATAAAGCCAATGACAAGAGCTCAGGCTGTAAATGCAAGGGATGCTCTGGCAAAGAAGATCTATTCTCATTTATTTGACTTTATTGTGGAAAGAATTAACCAAGCTTTGCAGTTCTCTGGCAAACAACATACTTTTATTGGCGTTTTGGACATATATGGGTAAGACTGTCTCTGGAAAAAAAATATTTTAAGGTGTGCCTTTTCTTTGGAGTCGATAAGAGGTGCTTTTCAATTTGTGCTGCTAATGAATTTGGAGGGTTTTGTTTTACTAAAAGCTTGTAGTCATGCAAGTTCTTTAGCATCCAGAGTAGTGGAACGGTTCAGCAAAAATATTGGTATTTTTTGTGAATGATGTTTAAATTTAACTTTAGATATGATACTTTTAGATTTAACTCTAGTTGGTTTTAGCTCTGTTACGTCTGGTAACATTAACTCCTAGGGAGGTTTTGAAATGCCTTAGCGTCTTCATTAGTCTTAGGGTTATTTGATTTTCTTAGAAATATTGGAATATCTCCAAAGTCTTACAAGGATACTACTGTTTGTATTTAAATGTCAGGGGATTTTTTTTTTCTCCAATAGTCTTTCATCACCTTATTTTCTTTCTTATTCAACGTGTTTCAGCTTTGAAACGTTTGATGTGAACAGTTTTGAACAGTTTTGCATCAATTATGCTAATGAAAAACTGCAACAGCAATTCAACCTGGTATGATCTTTTATTTGTTATAGTTCTTTATCTTATTTTGCTTCAGTTTTGAAATTATCAGTGGTGAATATTAGGAAAGGCTATTTGTACTTGATGGATGTTTCTGGATAATGGGTAACTAGTAATAGATAAAAATATTTTACATATATACACACATATATATATAAAAACTAAAATTTCCATGTTTACTTTCTTACAAGACCGACATATACTGTACTACAAAATACATAAGTATTTTGTTTGTCTTACATATGCAATCACACATAGGCACATACACACATGGCTTATATTTGCTTCCTTCATTATAACCTTACGTTTTTATAATTTTCACATGTTTAGCATGTCTTTAAACTTGAACAAGAAGAATATATGAAGGAAGATATCCCGTGGACTTTAATAGACTTCTATGACAACCAGCCTGTCATTGACCTTATTGAAGCTAAAATGGGAATTTTAGAACTTCTGGATGAAGAGTGCTTGGTAATTTAAAAGTTTTGTATTTATGAGCTCATAAAAAAGCTTGTGGGTTAATCCATGTTTTGTTCCTTTTAAAGGTGAAGTAGAGCATTTTTCTCGTAAAAGGAACATTAATGTTTGCCCTCTGTTTGGTAATTTTAATTGTAAGCCATTTAAGTCTATTTTTATCTTATAAAATTAAGACATTAAAACTAGTTTCTTACCTAGGATCTAGCCCAGCAACTAGGTTTCTTCACTGTGAGGGTAGTACAGTACTAGAACAGGTTAAGCAGAGGTTTGCTGGGATCCCTGTGCATGGATACTTCCCAGATCTGAGTTCAAACGGAAGCTTGATCTAGTGTTGGTGGTAGTCTTGCTCTGAGCAGGAATTTGGACTACCCAACCTCCAGAGGTCTCTCACACCAATATTTCTACAATTCAGTTATTCCACAAATCACTAATTTTGGTACAAAAAACTAGTCTTCCTTTCCTTTTTTGTCAGTTGTTGAACACACCAAACCTACATCTTTGCTTTTTCTTCTTTAGTCTTACTATCTTTTTCTCTGTACTTCTCTCCTAACTGTAGCAATTCCTGAATCTGTTGTTTTTTCTTCTGTGTATATGTAGTTCCCTTAGGTTTCAGAACCTATTGAAGTAGCTTTGTCCGTGAAGAACAGGGCAGGGAAAGATCAGCCCTCATGAAATGGTATGTTAAAGGTGCTCTGGTGATATTGGCAAGTCGTACATCTCAGAATCCAAACCATGGAGTAATATGGGAGAAATTAGGGAGTATTCCCTAAGACATTAGCTGGTCTGTTACTCTGCTTGTTAGCGTTCTCAGGGATCAGATTGTCCCTTATTGCAGGTAGCATCTTCTCAGGGCAAAATGATTTATGACTCATCATAGAATTAACGCTAACATTAATATGACCTTCTTTCTTAAAATTATCTGCTACAGGGAGCCACTGGCTGTTCTGAAAAGACAGAAACTCATTGTTGTCAGGCCTCATAACTCACTGAAGGTGCATTATTCAGACAGGATTTATTGATAGTAAGGAGTTTTGCTGTTTTTAACAGTCCATCAGAGTTTTGCTAAAGAGATTGCCCTTCTCATTTTTGCAGTTACCTCATGGAACAGACGAAAACTGGCTTCAAAAGCTATACAATAATTTTGTCAATAAAAATGCACTCTTTGAAAAGCCAAGGATGTCAAGCACATCTTTCATCATTCAACACTTTGCTGATAAGGTAGAGTGTAAACAACCCAGTATTATTTCACCCTGTGTCTAGCAGTAGCTCATTCAGAAAAGAAAGCAGCTTACAAAATAGAGGAAATATTAACCACGCTTGTTTGGAACTTCAATAAAATCTATCTTCAATACATAGTTCTATTTATTTATTGGTAATACTGCCTGTAACACTCTATTTAAACTTAAGAAGTGCTTAAGATAATGAATTTGAGAGTATAAAAATGAATCATCAAGATAAAGAGGCAGAAAAAGAGTGCAATGTATAAATAAAATAGTTAAGGTTGTAGTCTGTAAACATTTTAGTCTCAGTTATTTACATTTCAAATGTAGTATTTCATAGAATAATGGAGGAGGAAAGAAATTTCTAATGAAGGCGGAAGGAAACTGCAGTTGATAGTGGATTCTGACAATTTGTCCTGCTTCTAAATTTACAGTATGCATGTGTCTATGCTTGCCGTAATGAAACTGGTAAAAGCAGTGTTTCAGCCATTGTATTTAAGACTAATAAAGACCTGTTGGCCACCATAGCTTAGAGAACAAGAGTTACCGTTTTGCTAACTGTTTGTGTATTGCTGAAAAGTTAATGATTTCACCTGTTTGCACAGGTAGAATATAAATGTGAAGGATTTCTGGAAAAAAACAGAGATACAGTACATGAAGTATTGGTTGAAATCTTGAGAGAGAGCAAGGTTTGTGAACAAAGTAATTATTAATTTTCTGAATACCTGATTTTACTGGAATTCATTCAGATCTGATTTTAAAAGATTTGTTCTGATAAAAAGATTTTTTAATAGGCTTTATCATACTAGTTTAGTCTTAATTTTTATTAATATTCTACAGGTGTGTATTTTTAGTGTCAAAAGAACATACAAGATGAAAAACCACCACATTCAAATTTTTTATATATGTGCATTTACTTTGCTAGTTATGTTAGTATTTTTTGTTTTCTTAATAACTCCCTTGAATAAACATTTTGGGATCATTGAAACTGAACAATTCACTTGACTACAGAAAAAAAAAATCATTACGTGTAACTTTGATAGGTGGCTTATCATTAACAGCTGCCTTTGTTTGTTCTTCAAAAGAGATTAAGAGAATGCCAGGGCAGGGAAAACATCAAATGTCTTTATAAGGGCCTGCCACTTCCCATCTGCTTGAAGGCCCTGTCCCTTTCAGGTCTACAGCCTTGATACTGCAAGATTACTATTAAAAAGCTAACTTAATCTGACCAAAAACCATATTCTTAATTTAAATATTCTGAAAATACAACCTTCGAGTGCTCTTATTTTTAACTCTGTTCTGTATTTATGTCCATGTTTGCTCATATTGAAATAGCTTTTGCAGGCCTACGTAACAGTTGTTGAGTTTTGTCTGTGAAATGTGGAAATGCTTTACAATAGACTCAGGATTGTTGCAACTGTTTTTTCAGTTGTTGTTTGTTTGTGGCTTAAAGATCCAGTTCCAAGTCCTACAATACCTGGCCTAGGCATTAAGATGGATGGGTTTTGCATTTTATGTTGCAGTAGGTGTAATTTTTATTTCAATGTTACTACAGTAACACAGGATTTAACTGTGATTCTTTCACCACACTTTTAGTTTCATCTGTGTGCAAATTTTTTTCAAGACAATCTGGTGTCCGTTTCACCTTTCCGTTCAACTTTAAACATCAAACCTGCAAGACCTGTTCTCAAGTCACCTAACAGACAGCTCCGGATGACTGTTGGCAGTAAGGTACTACGTAAACATGCTATTCTGTGATGCTCGTACTTTCAGGAAAGTGTACTGGGCAGTCTGAGACTGTGGTGCTGTATTCTACTACTATTCACGGTGGGCTGTCCAGTTTTCAGTACAGCCAGAGCCAGCCACAGGGCAGTGCTCCAGGTCTGGGTATGTGTGTTTAATTTATATATAGGGGACTGTTAATTTCTTGCATTTAAGATCGAAACCATAAGAAAATCTCCCATGTCCAGCCAAAACCTAACAAAGAATTGAAAAATTAAGATTTGACTTTTTCTTCAGCTGTAAACGTTTCATTAGCAAAACTGTTATGTCTGATATTTTCTAGTTCCGGAGTTCTTTGTCTTTACTTATGGTGACACTCAATGCAACCACCCCTCATTATGTACGATGCATAAAGCCAAATGATGAGAAGTTGCCTTTTGAGTAAGTTTTAATGTTATGATACAATCATATATGCCAGATAGTTTGCATAATTCCTATGTCTAGCTTGATAACCGGTAACTGGAAGCAGGAGTTAACCTTGATGCAGCTATTGGTCTGGTTTGTGGGCAGACATGTGGAATCGAGTTTGTTACACGGCTTCTAGCTGGAAGATAGTGTAATGACAAATGAAATAAAAGCTTTTGTCATATCTGAGTACAAGGGAAGAGGCAAACTTTGATTCTGAATTAATTTTTTTAAATGTGTTAGTGTATTTCCTTGAAGCCAGACAAAATCTGTCCATGCAAAACATGTTACAAATGGTACTACTTCACTATCACTGCAGTGAGACCTCATTATTCTATGTAATAGCAATGGGGGTGTGGAATTAGCTTGCATAATATAAAAACATGTTTGAATTACACTAGAAGAGTTTACTGTAAGTTTGTGAAAGAACAATATAGTCATCTGTCAGCCACAGGGATCTCTTAGCTAGTGCTGGATCAACACTGTAGTGTAGTGCTTTGTGGGCATATCAGCTCTGGTCCAGAGTTGGAATGCCTGGTGTTGATAATCTTGAACCTGGATATTCATTAATATGTCCTGGTTTATTCATAATCAGTGTGCTAAAGAGTATCTAGAGAGACTTATTTCCCAGTAGACTGCTGAGGGAATTTATTTCTGTGTATGTTTTGCGCTGAGAGTGGCACAATTCTTTGCCACTTGGTGATACAAGCTTTCACAGTTAATACTGAAAAGAAACAGAACTTTCCGTAAGAGAAAAATGTATGTAGTCTTCCTTTTATTTTGAGGGAGAAAAAGAAAACCCAGCTATTCCCTATCACATATTAAAAAAAACCAAGAAAGACACCATATAAAAAGTAGGGAGCCCTCCATCCTATGGGCAGAAATTGAAATCCGGCTTGTAGAATGGTTATAATTATTACAGCATGCCAAACCCAGGGGAAAAAAGTGAAATATAACTCTGCTTTTTTAGGTTTTATTCAAAAAGAGTGGCTCAGCAACTGCGAGCATGTGGTGTTTTGGAAACTATTCGGATTAGTGCACAGAGCTACCCATCCAGGTAGGGATAGCAGTGGGCCTTTGTATGTCAAAAAATACTTAGGTTTCTCTTAAATGAATTGCATTTGCTAACTTTTAATTTTCCAGGTGGACTTACATTGAGTTTTTCAGCCGTTACAGCATTCTTATGACACAGCAGGAACTCTCCATAAGCGATAAGAAGCAGATTTGCAAGATTGTTTTGCATCGGCTAATCCAGGTTAGTTTGTGTGCGCTGACCCATTATCTATCATAGCATCAATTATTAATAAAAGGCCTCTTTTTGCTAAGAGTAGTATCTCACTCCTCAAATAGGAAAGATACTTACATTATTACTGTTTTTCCTGATTTAGTGTGTTGCACATAGGCTTGCGAGTCAGTAACCTTTGTTGTGACACAGTCATGATGTGGCTGTAGATAGATGATTTAACCTCTCCGTGCTTAATATCTTCACTTGTAAAATGGAAGATTTTACATACATATAAAAAATATAATTATGATATATAACTACTAATATATAATAATACAGTAAATATACTACCTATATTTATATTAATAGTTATGGATAGGTGTATGTGTATTTATATATAATAGGTATATATATTTATAAACCAGTGAACAGTAAGTGATATGCATTTGTCAAGTAGTAGAACTTTACACACACAAGAGGGCTTTTGCAGGTGGAATGCAGCATATTGAAGAACTGTTCTAAAAATGTGCTGTTTTGCATAGTGGTGGTATTTATTAGACAAGTCTGTAGTGATGAGGCTGGTCCAAGTCAAGCCAGCGATTCAAGTCAGCATGTCAGGAATGAGTTCAGACTCAGAGATGTGTGAGACCAAACACAGATACACTTGCAACATAGCTCTGGCACAGGCCAAGGGTGAGAGCCTGAGCTTAAAAGTAGCTTCTCCCCTGAGTTTTTGCTCACACAGCTCACTGAGTCAAGGCAAGACGTGCACCAAAAGGCAGTGTTGAGCCCAAGGAACCAGACTTGAACAAGGGGCAGAAGAGGTTGCTTTCAAGGCCTTGATGATAAGTCCAGATCCTCCCTTTAATTTGAGATCACTAGGGTGCAATTTTTTGATGTAATTCTCTGGGTTTTTTTCTGCTAAGTGGATTTTCCCCCCATATACTCCTATCTACAAAGAAGGCAGAGAGGGTATTCTTACTCAGCGATATCATGTCATTTCAGAAGAGCTTGCCTGAAGTGACAATTTATAAAGGGAAGAGAGTGTCTGATCTACAATAATAAACTAAAAATATTACTATATCTATTGTTTTCTTTTTCAGGATCATAACCAGTATCAGTTTGGAAGAACAAAAATTTTCTTCAGAGCAGGACAGGTTGCTTACTTAGAAAAACTGCGATCAGATAAACTGAGACACGCATGCATCATGATCCAAAAGAGTATTCGAGGCTGTCTGCAGCGAAAGAAATTCCTTCGCATAAAACAAGCAGCTATTATAATACAGCAGTATTTCCGGGGGCAGCGGACTGTACGGTACTTTTGGCTGATAAATGAATTTGGTGTTAGGGTGTGCCTGAAGGGATATAGACGGTCAAACTAATGCCCCGCGCGAATTGGAAGTGTAATTTTTACGAAAGAGCAATTGAGGTTGTATTTCCATTTCCTCTTGATCATAATTGTGGACTTGAAAATGTTCAAGTTACTCAGCTGATATGAAGAAAGTACTGTAGCAGATTTCAAATGTTGTCTGCGAGATTCCTGAGAGGTCTGTCTACCTGTAAGCTCAGTCGTTAGCTAATGATGAGTGACCCAGTTGTCAGCTTGGGCTTACTGAGCTTCAGAGTCAGAGAAGAAATCAAGTAGCAGAAAGGAAGAACAGTTTACAAGGGTCTACAAATTAGTGTGTACAAATTATTACTAGTAATTATGCAGCAGAGAAAATGCACCAGTCGTTCACAGAGTAGACTGAGAGGAAGATGGCTCTAGGTAGGCTTTGAATTTTTCAGAAAGAGACCATCTGAACAATTGCTTGTGGAATAAATTTCAAAGATTGTGGATAATTCCCTTTCTTTCACTTTGATTGAAGAAAAAGCTGTGTTTTAGATAGAGGATACCTGTTTCCAATGTCTTCTGTTTTGTGTGTGATTTGGCTGACTGAGGGAATGAGTATGAGAAATTTAATGTGACCTAATTGTCTTTTGAATTAAGGCAAGCTATAACTGCAAGAACGCTGAAGCAAACATGGGCAGCTATAATTATTCAGAAATACTGTCGGGGTTACCTGGTCCGTAGACTTTGCCAGCTTATCCATGTGGCTGCTGTAACAATTCAAGCTTATACAAGAGGATTTCTAGCAAGAAAAAAATATCGGAAGGTACAGCCTATCAAAAATTTTATTTCAGTAACTGGGGTCAGCTATTGCTCAATAAGAAAGATGGAAACAAGGGCAGTGATCCCTAATACATTACCTTTTGCATGTCTGGTTCTTGTATCTTCTACTCTATTTTTATATTTTTACTATGAAAGTACTGATACACAGTAGCTTAGATCTAATCTCTGAGCTACCTTCTTGGTTTATACTTGATGCAACTCATTTAGTGTGATTACAGTGGTTCAAATGTGTCTGCAGTCTGGGTAGTTCAGTATTTTGATACTTCTGTGAGAAGCATTTTCATTACCAGTGTTATGTAGATTCACAGAATGATTGCTGTAAATTGATGCTGATTGAGTCATAGTTAATTACAGACAGATGTTAATATTTTATTTTAAAGATGCTTGAAGAACACAAGGCTGTGATCCTTCAGAAATATGCCCGTGCGTGGCTGGCTAGGCGCAGATTTCAGAATATTCGGCGGTTTGTATTGAATATCCAACTTTCATACAGAGTTCAGCAACTGCAGAAAAAGATAGAAGAACAGGTGAGGATCACCAGTCAGTTTATGATTTGCACTAATTTTTTATCATAACTGTTTTATTCCGAGCTCTCACATTGACTAGAGGCTTACATGAATTACAGTGTCCATACTTTGCTTGACAAGACAGGGGAACGTGTCAGGGATATGGTCCTTTATTATAAATCACTAGTATTCTTCCTACATCCAGCGTAGGAAGAATCATCTAGGGTTTCCTTATATTTTTGGGTTAGTTGTACCAATGAGAACAGCCTGCAATGAACATTTCTTTTTTGCTGTTTCTTAGGTAGCCCGTCTAATCTCTGGATGGGATTACTTGTATTAGGATGAAGGATGTGTGAGATACAGCTCTGGTGCAACAGATTTAGTAACTTTTGTGAATTCCATATTATGTTTATTTTGCAGTTTATTTTTGAGAGCCATACCAGTCAAACCATCTTTAAGATGGTAGCTTTAATCTAAATGATGGAAACCATCCTTGGTTGAAATAATCATGACTGATAGGGGATGGAGAGCAGAAATACGTCAGATGCTTCCTTCAAAATTCTATTAAAACAGTTTCAGGCGTGCCTTTTTTTGTTTTAACCTGTCTTGCTCATCGTAGAGTAGAGAAAATCATGGTTTGCTGGAACGACTGACCAGTCTGGCTTCAACTCATATGAATGACGTGGATACAATCCAGAAACTCGAATTAGATCTTGAAAAGTTAACAGCTCAAAAGCGAACATATGAAGAGAAGGTGAAAAAATATAAAGAGGACAGTGAACAGGTAAATTTTAATGGCCTTCTGGGTGCTTTTAGTTTAGTTTAAGTAATTTTTTCAGTTGCTGGATTTCTCAAATGCATGATTTGAGAGTTACTTAGTAACTTCACTTTTGGGGGTGGTGGCAGGGAAGGAAGGGAGTCCATATGTGCTTGTTAAAATGTAAGACCTTCTGTGACCTATTTGTATTTTGTATATTTGTAATTTGTATATTATGCTTACTTTTTGTGCGTGCAGAAAATCTTAAAACTTGAGAATCAAAATAAAGAATTACAAGAACAGAAAGAGACCTTAGAAATAAAACTCGAAGAAAAAACTGAGGAAATGAAAGGTAAAATAAATAAAAGGAGTTTTAAAGGAGTTGTCATGGGAGAAAGTTGTAAAGTCAGGTTTTTATCAAAAGTAAATGTTGTAATAAAAGCAATATAAGTGCTGAATTTACAGTAAATTAAAAGTTGTTCCTAAGCTTCACTTGCTTAGAATGTATAGTGAAGATGCTTTTAATTTAATAGTTAAATTTGTACTTCCAGTAGCAAAAGCTGTCCTCCTGTTATGTTTCCTGTCTCATACACATGCATTCCTTCAAAGTGTCGCTTTGTCCTTGTTCCTTTAATATATTGCTTTTTTTAATCTAATTTCAAAGGACACAGGCAGCACATGAGATCAAGTATGCTTTAGATAATTAACACTTTGGTGTTTCAGAACCTTTTTATTCTATAGCGCTACTTGTAAAATTTACTGTGATCATTTTTGGTACTTGAGGGAGTAATTTCAGCCTTAAAATACGTTAAGGTTTGATTATGAAAACAAAACTTCTCATTGTGGTCATACTGTTTTAATAAATGCACGTAATTGCATGAAGGTCTTTGAAATGTAAATATTTTTTGACAGAGAAAATGGATGACCTCACGAAGCAACTCTTCAATGATGTACAAAAAGAAGAAAGTCAGAGAATGTATGGAATCTGAATTTTAATTCGTTTGAAACAGCATTCATTTTTTCTCTTGCCCTGCCTTTCGTTTTCCTGCTGTAAATACATTATGCTCACATCACTTAATGAATTTGTCAGTGTTCTTGGACATTAATGCTAGTACTGAAGTACTTCATGTACAATCGAGGAAAAGCACATGCTTGTTTGTGCATCAGTAACATGCAGGAAATAGACTTGACACTTTCTTGCTTTTGCAGTTTCCTGTCTTTCCACATATCTTTCTGAGACTTGAAAGGCAACCCGGATCATAATGGTTTCTTTGGAGATATCCTCAGAATTGAGTCAGGGCTGGAAGAGCAGCTAATGGCTATACCAGCCAGAATTCCTGTGAAGTGAATATTAAAGGACAGAATTGAAAGATTCAGCTTGAAGGAAAGGCAGTGTTTGTGAAGCACATTTGGCTAAAAATATAGGGGGAAAAATGCCACCCCCCCTTGATATTTCATTTGCAGTATTAAAAATCCTGTTATTTAGCAATAAATGGTGGTTGCTTTGCAGCATGCTTTTCTCAGATCAAGTGTTTATTTCCCGGTAACACTTTTTCCAGTATAAGACAGAGAACCTTAGGTACCAGAAATGCTGAAGCGTGAAGAGTGCAGTCAGCCACTGTTCCTGAGGGTTGGGAGCTGTTTGCTGTTTCATCTCAGCCTGATTTCAGCTGCAAATAACTTCATACTTACTATACTAAGCAGACTTCTTTGCTAGTTTTTCTGCTTTGCCTATTAGCTATCTTATGTTGGAAGCCAGTCCATTCCAGCAGCGACTAGTAGAAAACGGAAGGCAATCTTGCAATGCTTTTCTGAGAAGGATACATGGCTTTATGTTGCTATGTCCTTCTTTAGTGCTAACTGTGGCCATAAATGTAGCGGAAAGCTGCTCGGGTAGGCTAACTCTCAAAGAGTTAGAGAATTAGCCTTTAAGTGGAAAAAAACTTGAGTTTTACCTTGAATTCAGTCCCAGTATCTGAACTGGATGTAGGG